GTGATTGGCGAGATCCCTTCTCCGGACTTGCCGTGGTCTTGGTATGCATTTTTGTTATAGACATTATGGGTATGTCGAGGCCCTGTTACGGCTATGTTGCAGCACTTATGTTCCTTTAGAGGCTTATAGACAAGTGTTGACTCATGTATAGTTTGGTATGCCTTGTCGGCTGGTTTTTGTTGTATAGTCTTTCATAGTAGCATGGTAGCTCGTACCTTATATGTAGTTTCTTGATTGTTTGGTCATCCCATGTTATGTATGTTCATGCCATCATATTTTATGGTTGGTTGTCCATGATCCATGTCTACCATTTATATTGATCTCCTCAGCCCTAAAAGATAATAAAGAAGGTTAGATGAAATGTACGTTGGTGCTCGGCAAGTATGGTCGGGTGCTAGTCATGGACCTCCAGTTTGGGTCGTGACACATGGATAAAGTTAGGAGATGACAACACTAGATACTTCTATTAAGTCATCAAACATAAGAGGCTCCAACAAGCAATTACTCAATTGAAGGATGATCAAGATATTTGGCAGATAGATCCAGTTAATATAGCTTAACTATTTGTCATTTATTATGAAGAAATGTTGGGAAAGAAAGAAAGCAATAGAGCCAAAGCAGCTGAAATATTTTTAAAGAATGGTCATGTTCACAATTGAACAGCAGGTAGACCTAATGAAACCTTTTGAAAGGAAATATGTGAAAACTGCTATGTTCCAAATTATAGATGCAGTTCTGGAGTTCTTCAATAATGGAAAGTTGCTGAAATAGTTAAATGCAACTAATATTGCTTTGATTCATGCAAGCCAATTCAGGCCTATATCCTGTTGCAGTGTATTGTACAAGTGCATCTCAAACTTGTTATCTACCACATTCAAAGTGGCTATTCAACTTCTGGAAATAGATAACCAACTTGCCTTTGTACCTGGCAGATCTATAATCCATAATGTGCTTATATGTCATGACATACTGAGGCACTATAATAGGAAGACTACTCCTAGGTGTTTTATGAAGAAAGACCTGAGGAAAGATTATGACATGGTACATTGGGAATTCTTAGAGGAGGCTCTGATTGGTTATGGCTTTCCAATCAAGTTCACAGAGTTGATTATGGCATATGTAACTTCTACCAAGATCTCAATTAGTGTAAATGGTGAAAGTCATGGTTTGTTTGAGGGAAAAAGGGATCTTAGACAAAGTGATCGAATATTTGTCTAGAACATTGGGTTGTATGAGTGCCCTCCCAGATTTCAAATTCCATCATATGTGCAAGCATTTGAAGTTGACATATCTAGTTTTTGCTGTTGACCTCATGATGTTGTGCAAGGGTGAAAGAGGTTCAGAGGATAGAGTCCTAGAGGCTTTAGAACATTTTAGTAGTGTATCAGGTTTGGTGGCTAATATGGACAAATCTAACCGGTTTATGGAAGGCATTGATGATCATATGAAGGAAGATCTCCTAAGCAATACTGGTTTCTCCCTAGAGACTTTTCCTATAAGGTACGAAGGTTTAACCACTGTCACCTAAGAAGTGGAGCAAGTTGGAATGCTACCAACTTGTTGAGAAGATAACAAATAAAATCAAAGTCAGTTATGCTAAGCAACTATCATATGCAAAGAGGCTTCAGGTGGTTAATATAGTGTTATTCTCAATTCATAGCTTATGGGGAGCAGTCTTTGTTTTACCTCAGAGCATTATGAAGGAAGTGGACAAGAAGTATAGAGAGTACCCATGGGGAGGCTCAGAGGAGAAGAAGAAGAAGCTTTTCCTAGTATCGTAGGAGAAAGTGTGCCTGCCTAAGAAGTTTGGTGGTCTTAACATTAAAAGTTGTAGGGAATGAAATAAAGTTTATGTTGGAAAATTACTGTGGCAGCTTGTTATGAAAAAAGGAGTCCTTATGGGTTAAATGGATCTATAGGATTTATATGAAGACTGATGTTAATATTTGGACTCATCATGTTCCACAAGATTGTAGGTAGCCATTAAAGGTCTTCATAGGAGATGGCCAATCGCTGATCTTCACTGGAATGCACTACCTCAACTAAAGCACATGATCATCATATGGTTAGCAACTCAACGAAGACTGTTCACTAAGGCTAGACTGAGTTCTTTGCATATTCAGGTGGAGGATGATAAATGTGTGCTATGTAATGATCAGGTAGTGGAAACAAACCAACACTTGTTTGTAGAGTGTCCTTGGTCCAAAGTTGTTTGAGAGGAACTAATGCACTGGGCAGGAATTCAAATGCAATAGTGAGATACACAAGGGTTCTATACATAATTAAAAGGAAGAAATGGCAGCTGGTTAGGAAGGAAGTTGCTACTGCATTATGGGCATCAATAATATATCATATTTGGAAGGCTAGAAACAGGAAAATATTCAAGAATACAATTGTAAATATGGAGAGTATAGGAACACAGATTAAGAAAGAGCTAATAGATAGGATTGGCTTGTTTAGACATACTAAAAAAGGGCAGAGATGTAGTGTATTGATGTAGAGGTTGATGTGTAATTAGTGATCTCTAAGGTCGGATTCAAAACTCTCTAGATAATGAGTTTTGGGGTCGAGGTGCTTTCTAGGTGCACTCTTATTGTTTATTATCAATGGTAATTTACAGTGTTACCAAAATAAAATATTCTGAGATCGAATCCGACGTACATTTATTTTCATTTCAACTCATGCCTTTTCTTCTCTACCTTTGATTTGCTTGCCTCTTTATCTTTCTTTTTTTTTCGTCTAAGAATTGCTTTCTTTTTTATTCTCATTGCCATTTTTTCTTTCTTTTACCCCCTTTTTAGTGGATTCTCTTTCTAACTTTACTATCCTTTCCATTTCCTGGACCTGCTATCTTCCTATATTTCCTTATTTCTCAATTTGCTCTTCCTTTTTTTTACTTCTTTTCTTCGTTGGTTTTAACTATTTGACTTTTTTCTACAAAATACTTCTCCTTTATCTTTTCATTTTCTCAATATAACCTTTGTGACTAAATTCAATTTGATATAGTATAAATTAACTTTTGAAATTCTTATTTTATTCATTTGTGTTAAAAAGCTAAACTTTTCACTTTATATCAACCTAGACCAATGTTGCGCTGAAGTTGAAGTTTGAAATTTAGAGTAACTAATAATATTATTGTTCATTTGTGATGAAAAGGTGTTTTAGAAACAAATTCCGTAATTTGAGGCCTAAAAACCTCCCTTTTACCTCACTTTGATTTGCGTGTGTGGTCCAGACCTATATCTAGAAAGCTTTCTATGTGAAAAGATGAGAAATAGAAATTTCTAGAGTTAAAAATTTGATTTTTGGTTGACTTTGATCAACATTTTGAGCAAACGGACCCAGATCCGTGTTCCGACGATCCCGGAAGGTCGTCAGTAAAATATGGGACTTGGGCATATACCCGAAAATGAATTCCGAGATCCCAAACCTTAGAAATTAATTTTTGAAAGAAATTATTTTGCTGAATTATCTAAGAAATGAAGAAAAGAATTAATGTTGGAAACCATTGGTATCGGGCCCGTATTTTGGTTCCGGAACCCGGTACAAGCTCGTTATAGTATTTGAGTGATAATTGCGAAATTTAGTGAAAAATGAAGTCTATTTGACGTGAGTTGGACTTTCGGTTGAAGAGTTATGAACTTTAAGTATTCTTGATGAAAATGATGAGTTTTGAGGTTTAATTCATGGTTTTACATGTTATTTTGATGATATAATCGCACGAGTAGGCCCATATGATATTTTAGAGTTAGTATGCACATTTAGTTTGGAGTCTCGAAGGCTCGGGTGAGTTTCGGGTAGGTTCCGGGATGTCTTAGGATTAAAATATAGCTGTTGCAGGTTCAGAGAAGTGTAGATCTTTGAACCCGCCAGTGCGGTCCGCATTTGTGTTGTCCGTAGTGGGGGCTTTGCGGCCGCACTCGATTTTGTGCGGTCCGCATATGTTCACTGGTCCGACATCGGAAGCCTATATCTTTTGATCTACAAGGAATTTTTAGATGATTTAAAACGAAAGTTGTATCCCTTCGTGTCTAGTTTCCAAAAAGGTAAAGAAACCATAATTTGGATATTTGTAGAGAAAGGTATGGCCAAAATACTAAAGCATGTCACGATAGTCAACCTTGTGAGCTCCGCGGCCGCACTCCTTTTTGTGCGGTCCGCACAAGGAGCCTGAGAGGGTATAATTAAACGGGATTTTCAGTTATTTTTCATTTTTCAAAACCCCAAAAACATAAGAGCGATTTTTCAAACAACCTTTCTTCTCCAAAATATTAGTAAGTGATTTTTAACTCATTTTCTTTACTCCTTAACTTCTTTTTACAAGATTTATCCTAGAATCTAGGGTTTAATGATGGAATTGGGAATTTTGAGTAAAACCTAAGAATATTGAAATTTGGGGATTTAGACCTAAAATCGAGGTCAGATTCCAAAACTAATTATATATCCGGGCTCGGGGGTGAATGGGTAACCGGGTTTTGGTCCAAATTTCGAATTTGGACCAAGCGGGCCCAGGGTCAATTTTTGACTTTTTGAGAAAAACTTCAGAAAACTTATTTCAAGCATTAGAATTGATTCATTAAGGATTTATTAATATAATTAAGTAACTTGTAGCCAGATACGAGCGAGTTGGTGGTAGAATCAAGAGGTAAAGCGATAGTTGAGGCTTGAATTGTGTTCGTGGCATCGAGGTAAGTGTTTGGTCTAACCTTAGCTTGAGGGATTAGGAGTTAAGTCCTATTTTCTATGTGTTATTTGTTGAGTACGACGTATAGGCATGGTGACGAGTATCTATACGTTGGTGTCAAGCATGCCCGTGAGTCTTATACTATGATTAATGTGCCTCTATTTGTATTGTTCATGCCTTTTGTGATGATTTCTATTGTTGAGCAAGGCTTGTGGAAGTAATATTGGTATTTGAATATTGAAGAGCGTTGGCTCAAGTTGTAAAATAAATTGTGGAAGTATAATTGGAAATTGAACCTTATAGAACATTGGCTCAAGTTGTGAAGTGAGGTGTGAAGTAAATGTGAAAAGGAAAAAAGAGGATTTTTTATATTGTTCCCTCGCCGGGATTTAATTGTTGTACTGTTGTTCCCTTGTCGGGATTTTATTGTGATTTCATTTATTTCCTTGCCCTTATTTCTTGTGATTATTGTTTTTGTAATAGAGTGTTAAAGCACGAAGGGTGATGTCGTGCACTTGTCCTTGATTTTCCTAAATCTTGCTTATAATTGAGTTATGTTGTCCTTTACGTTTATTTATGGATTTTCTGTTGTTGCTTGATTTTATTATGATATTATTGATTCCCTTGCCGGGATATTGTTTCTCCCTTATTGTTCCCTAGCCGGGGCTCCTTTGTGATTGGTGTTGAATTGTATATTTGGATTGGGTTGCACGCCGCAACAATATTATATTTGGATCGAGTTGCACGCCGCAACAATATTATGATTGAATCGGGTTGCACGCCGCAACAACAATATAATTGGATCGGGTTGCACGCCACAATAACAATATAATTAGATCGGGTTGCACGCAACAGTGATAAATGATATGGATCGGGTTGCACGCCGCAACAATATTTTTATGATTTGGATCGGGTTGTGCGCCGCAACAGTAGATAATAAAAGTGTTTATTGGTTGGTTACGATTTCCTTATTCTTTTGTTGTGAATTCTAAATTGTCTTTATGCTTTTCTCTCGTATTACTTTTGATAAATGATATTCCCCCGTAGCATGTCCCCCTTCTATCTTTAATTGTTTATTTCTGTTTTATTTTTCGCTGTATATAATGTAACTGCACAGGTTTAGTTAGTAGTCTGGTCCTAGCCTCGTCACTACTTCACCGGGGTTAGACTAGGCACTTACCCGCACATGGGGTCGGTTGTGCCGATACTATACTCTGTACTCTTTTGTGCAGATCCCAGTGCTGTAGACTTCGGACCGCAGTGAGATTGCTATTTCTTGTTCATCAAGTGACTCGAGGTAGTCCTGCAGGCATCCGCATGCCTTGGTATCTCCTCCTATCTACTATTCCTGTTTCTTTCGTGTATTTCCAGAGACAATGTTGTATTTATTTCTTTCATACCTTTATTCGTAGTACTCCTAGGCAGTCTGTGAGGTTGTGACACCAGTCTTGGGTAGATTTGTTATGGATTGGTATTAGTAGCATTATTAAAACTTTACAATGCAGCCTTCCGCTTATTCAATTCTGCCGTTATCTAATTATTGGATTTTGACTGTTATAGGATTAAAAAATGGAAACAAGGTAAATAGTTCAGTTGGTTGGCTTGCCTAACTTTCACTAGTAGGCACCATCACGACTCCCGACGGTGGGAAATCTGGTTCGTGACAAGTTAGTATCAGAGCCCTAGGTTACATAGGTCTCACAATTCATAGACAAGCTTAGTAGAGTCTGAGAGATCAGTACGGAGACGTATGTATTTATCCCCAGAGGCTACAGAGTTGGGAAAAGTTTCACTTCTACGCTTCTCTATCGTGTGATTTTGTTCTCTCAATGCTAAATGAAACCTCTACTCTTGTCCTTTCGCTAATGGCGAGGTCACGTACCACTTCTTCAGCCAAGCAATAGCACAAGCCGGTGATGGAGCAGCTATGTCTACCGATGCTTTGTGGAGATTAGACAGGTTCACCAAGCTCTTCACTACTACCTTCAGCGGTGCATCTTCCGAGGATCCCCAGGATTATCTAGACAGCTATCATGAGGTTCTCAGGAACATGGGGACAGTGGAGACCAATGGGGTCGACTTTGCTACTTTTTGCTT